TTTCATGTGACCCCCCCCGCCCTTAAATGTTTATCACCGACAAAACAGAGCAGTCGCCTCATGCTCGCAGGGATAAATGGAGTGTTAGAGGACTCGCTTGAAATGACACGCATGCCCTGACCACTTGGGAGGTCTTCCTCTCCTCTCACAGGCTCAATACGTGACCGTTTTTATGCAGTATACGCTTTTTCTGAAATGTCTGTGAAGGAGTCGTTTTGCTTGTAGCTGTGAGGCCAGCTGTTCAGCACACCTAAAGTAAATTGGAATTTTTAGCTAATTTGAATATTTTATTTACATGTAGCCTATAGGCTTATGTAACATTTTATATTTTACGGTCCAAATTTTTGTTGTGTAAGATGTTCTTTAAAATGGTGTTGTAACTAAGGTGTTATATAACATTTACAATCACATTACATTTTTTATTTTACAAACATAATTTGTTTTAGTGCACTGAATCTATTTAAACATAAAAATGCCATTTGCCAAGAATAGGCTACTGTGCAATCGAGTAATTGCACATAGGCTTGTAATTAATTACAAAATTTAAAGTCGTTATCAATGTTGAAGGGCCATCTTTGTAGAAGCATGTCATCGCCAAGTTTTTCTTCTTCTTCTTTTTTTAAGGAAAAAAGGGGGGTTCGTAAATGTATAAATAAACGTTTTTCAAAGCATTTTCAGAATGTTGTGCACCGCAATACAAATATACAAAATCAGTACAAGTAGTACAATTCAAAACGACAAACACAGCACATCAGTGATAATTATTTCAGACGGCTGAATTCTTACTACGCCTTTGATAAAAGAGATTAACAAGAGTTGTTTTGTGCCAGTTGTTATAAGCCAACAAATCACTTTCCAGGAGATAAAACCAATTTACCGTAGTAAACGTCAGTGATCCTGCCACTAGCTCGTCGTGCAGATGTATAGGCTAGCCATCTCTTCTCGTCAAGCATAACCTGATGGAGCGAAGCGTCTTTATTCCTTCAAACTCATTCAGCTCATTCTTTCCACGTTACCGTTGTTTGAGGACTCTGGGCGCAAGAGTGCCTGAAGAACTTTTGGAGGACGGTTTGGAAGAAGAGGGAGTTGTTTCTGTGAGAAACTCAATCTCGCATACAGTAGCGGCCTCCATCTGGGAACTGTCACAACTGACAGCACCACGGGCACTGGCCTGATCTTCCGCGCACCATTCAGCAAAACACAGTACACTCTCTCAGAATGGTACATTGTCTGGTTGTTTAATTCTTAGGAAACCCGGTGATAATTTATTATCTGATACAGTGGCGCCGCAGTATTTAATTCAATCAAGAACAAAAGAGGGTTTCGTAACTTGAGTTTTCGTATAGGCCTATTTTATAAAAAAAAAAAACTTAGCCTACTTAGAATATGGTTACACTGTACTGTTATTGTTGAAAATAATATAGTGTTTAATTCTCTATTTCCAACCCGATCTCATGAAAGTGCGTATAAATAGTACGCCAAATAAAAACGAAAACTCGTGGTATTGATACGCAAAAATGGACTTTGGCGTGTATATGCTACGCGATGGGTAGGTTTAGGGTTGTGGGGTAGATGCGTATCATATGTACGCGAAAACTGCGTATTATATGCACGCCAAACACATGCGTATCATATGCACGCCAAAGTCCATTTTTGCGTATCATCAATAGCACGAGTTTTCGTTTTTATTTGGCGTACTATTTATAAGCATTTTCATCATACTTGTTTTGTTGCAAAAGGCTAGGTCAAAATGGCTGCACATGTCGGCGAAACGCACCCCAAATCATTTAACTCGCATAACCTAGATTAAGTTAGACTATTATCTGTTATATTGGGACACATTTATGTGGGACAAATGTAAAATTTTAATTTACGTTTAATTACACTCAGATGATCCAGTCTAATGGACTAGCCTATATTAAAATATGACATTAGTAGGCTATACGAAAAAAAAACATAGCTGTAGGTTAGAACTTTACGAACTTTAAGAACATACACGACATTGCTTAAAAAGGCCTGCATATCTGTTCTGCATTTAAAATTAGATAAAGACTGCGACATTTAGTTTTTTGTGCGATTGTTTTTAATCTAAATGGTGTAGGCCTATCTGAGATCGTGCCACTTAAACAATACTTTAAAAAAAAAAAGCTTAGATTGTGGTATAAGTGATTCTCCTGAATGGTTATGATGCTAGGATTTAGGTTGAGGTAGGATCACAGGCCTTGTAAGTGATTACGTTTACAATATAGGCACAGGATGGCTCTGTTCTGACTTCAACATGTCTACTAGCCACTGCTGCAGACAGAAACAACGGAGGAGGGTCTTATGAGGTAATGATTTACAGATGTCTGTAATACCAAGAAAAAGATGATGTTTGGTCCATGCTTTAAAATATAATACGACCCTACAAGTTCAAGAACTTTAAGATCGAGTTTTGGACAATTACACAAAAGAGACCCAGTCAACTTATTATGCTGAGTGGGAAGTGTCTTGTGCCATTGGCGAGGCAAGTTGATATAAAGAAGTCTTGACATACCAATTTTTTTTTTTGTTGTGCTGGTCAGGATTCGTACGTGTTTGAATTAGAGATATTTAATCAGATGGGACATGAGGTGATCGGACGTAAAAGATAAAAGAGCCAACGAAATTGTATTCCTGGCTCAGACTACTTCGTTTGCTTTAGTGCCAGAGGAAATAAGGGCTCTTTACTACTTTGGGCCTTCAGGAATCATGGTGTCGAATGTAAGATATGTGTTCTCTTCCATTTAGAGAGTCATTCGTGTTACTGGAGCGGCAGCAGGTCACAATGAGGTCACAGTATTATCTGTATTCTTAATCAAGGGAGTACGGACGGTTAACTTTATCTGAGACGCCATCTTGACACTCTCAACAAATTATCTACAATTATTAGTGCATAGAACCTGTGGAATCAGACAATACGATGTAACGTAAGCGGTAATTTAATGTAACCGGATGGGTCTTAAATCGTCTGTGTGTCTTCCTATCTAAGCAGATTTACTCTGCCTGAGATGTCCGTTTAATTGCATGCCTTTGCATAAAAGAACCTTAGACGAAAACTATGAGGCCTGCACCGAACGAAAAGCAAGTAGCACGTTAGCACACAAAAAATAAAAAATAAAAAAAAGCTAATAACAAGTAAGAAATAGGAAAAAAGAAAAATACTGGTCTTCCTAAATATACATCGAATGCATCATTTTAAAAATCGTTCAACATGAAGAATCTGTAATAAATCACCGACGTCATTGTATTATTCCATAATTCCAGCGGATAGGCTACTACTGACTGTTGTTATTGGCATTGCCAAAATTAGGTTCGATGAATTGTGGTGCTATCCCCCTCCACACCAGTGGGAAGTTTCAGCTGCACGTTTTGATCGGCACGTTATCAATCATTTGCACAACCGAGCAGGCTTTAGTCGCTCCAGCAAAGCTGGCCCTCCTCCGTGTTTTGTTGTTAACGTCATTTGGGCATTTTCCACAGGCTCCAGTGAGTCTACTCAATCATTTATTTGAGCAGTTATGGAATTAAACGTCTTGCAGTTTTCCCCCTTATCGCGATTAAACAGCATCGGCCTATAACTAACGACCTATATAGCCTGTGCAGTTTCAATGTTAGAATCGTGTTTATTAAAAAAAAAAAAAAATACTATCAAGGGTAGCCTAATTAACATTACATGAATAGCCTTCTTCGAGATTTAGATGGTAGGCTATTCTGAATTTTCCTTTTTTTTCTGTAGCCTAGCCTAGGCTACATATAATATACCCTAGCAAATCATAATTTTTATTAATTAAATTATAATTTGATCTTCTTTTGGCACCTGCTGCAGAAACCGTATCACCCGTTTCACCTGTGTTCATTTAATGCTGTAATTCATTAATGTCCCGATTTCGTCATGTACACTGACATATTATCAAATTGAGTTAAATTAAATACAAATCTTATTTTAACATAATAATAATTATAATATTTATCAGTTATATTTTTTTTTTATTTGTAGCTACTCGAAACTACTGACAGCACTGTTACTCGAAGCAGCCTTTATATGCCGAATGGTATAGGCCTACTTGTAAAAATTAATTCGCCAACCTGTACACAAGGCCGATAGCTACTGCTAGCATTAACAGTTTATTTGTAGTTAATGTATTTTTTTAATTATTTTTTTAGTAGGCCTATTCAGTGTTGCATGCATAAAGTGACAAACGGTTCACAACAGCCACATTGCTGTACAGCAGTTTTGTCAAATGTAAACATTTGTCTTCAAAACTTTAGATACCTTTTAAAAGCCAATATGTCTCAAAGCAGAACACAGTTTGGGCTGCTTGAATCATTCTGTTTGTGCTGGAGGAGCTGCTGGGTATGCATCGCGTGAGTGCTGTTTGATTTGACTGTCACGTCTATGTAAGTATTATTGAAAATATATTCAACAGCCTCTCTAGGCCCTAAAACTATCATTAATTTCTACTGTAGTCTATGTTCTGCTAACGAACAGCACTTCTGTGAGTAATTTAGTGTGCAATTTACCAAGTGGCATCTTTAGATTAAATTACATTTCAATACAACAAAAGGTCTAAGATTGTTAAAAACAGTGGTTTATTGAATTAATTACATTGTTTACATCTCCAATATTATTTAAATTTTGTGTCTCTGGACGGAAGTGCACTGGGTGGACTCAACAGTTGTTTTAGACACCAGCATTGTACACCACAAAACGACATTATAACACTTCATGACATTTTCAAATAAAACATTTACTATATCATAACATCGACTAATCTTCCTCGTTATTAAAGAAGAGAGAGAGAGACAGAAAATAGATACTGAAAGTGATAAGACAGAATAAGACAGATTTTCACGTATACTCCTTAGTGGCAGGTATCTCATTTTGATTCACAATGGGGCAAGAAAACAAACAATAATAAACCAATATCAGACAGCAACACACAATCTCTTACCAAGAGAGTATCCTCCTAAAATGGAATGGTTTTTCCTCAAATATCCACTGTCCGTAGCGGGAAATTGCACTTAAATATTCCATTAAATAATGTGAGAGAACAACTAAAAATGAGTTTAGAGGGCCTCATTTCGTGTCTTTTGCATTAGTCTCATTGTTTCAGTTCCAATGCCCATACATGCTGCGGCCAACCAGTTCTCCCTTTAGTTTTCTTGTCATTGCTGCTCCCTGAATTTTTCAAAACGTCGTTCTGGAAAAAACAAAACAAAAACAGCAACAGACAATAGAGATTATTTGTGTAGCTTTTGCACATTACCAAATTTGATCAACGTACTGGTCACGATAAAGACAGCAAATTTAATAATTTAATTTATACAACAACGATAGAGGCACAGCAACGTTCAACAAAACAATTTTTTTTCCACAGAATAATTTTAAAGCTTTTATATCAAAGTTAAAGCAAGTTTTCATTATATGTAAGTCTAATATATGGCAATAATGTTTATCGACATGTATGAAGATTCATTTACTTTAAGATCTTACCGTTTCTTTCTTTCGCCTTTCTTCTTTGGCGTCTGTTTTTTTGAATTCCGCTTTGAAGGCCTCTGCTTCCCCGTTCTGTTCGTCTTTGTCAAGAATGTCCATAAGGTAAGCAATGTAACTGGTAGCCAAACGAAGGGTTTTGATTTTGGACAGCTTCGTATCCGCGGGCACGTTGGGAATGCATTCTCTGAGTTCTGCAAAGGCGCTGTTGATGCTCTGAGTCCTGCGCCTCTCCTTTCGGTTTGCCGTGGGTTTACGTTTCACTGGTCGGGGTCCCATTCCAACGGCGCCGGCCCCCTGTACTCCTTCGTAGTGCGAGTGGTCGAGCCCGTGGGCTCCTGCTGAGTATTCGGGGCTGTACGAGGGTGCCATACTGTAGTCTGGAGGAGACATCTCCGGATGGCTGATAAGCCACCCATGAAAATATGGGGGTTCTTCATGACAGCGACTGGCAGCAGCTGCAGCTGCGAAGGAATAGCCGTCATGATGCATCACCGGGTGGTGGGGAAACCCTCCAACTAAACTCATGGCGACAGACTTGTGTACCCTAAGGCGAACCACAGACGGAGTAGCCTACTCTTTGGCTCTCAGATTGTGCATATATTTTGACTTGACGATTTAGACACCGGCTTTCTCCCCATAAAAATTATTAATTTGTTGATTTCTTACAGAAAGTAAAAATGCAGTCCTGCTTAATTGGCCCTAACAAAGATACTGCTGACTTTCTAGCAGATCATTAACAGACGAACAAAACAGGCTTCAGCTGTAACTGCACTCGAGTTATTAGTGAAAAGTCGTTTACTTACACTTATATTCTCCACTGCAAATATCCATCACGAGAAAGTCCCATTGCTATAGTTATTAATGTTTTAGCGGTGTTCGGAGCCTTTTTTTCCTGAATTTCAAACTTGTTATAGAATCAATGAGGTGGAGCGTTGGATGGAAAAATGTCCAAACCCAGTCGATGTTGTGCACGCAATTCGCAGCCTGATTCACTCTGTGGAAGCAGGCGAATTCCGCCGTTTGATCTCCATGTCAGCTACATCTTTTGAGCTGCTTGGGTTCATATATGTCGTCAAAACTGTTCTCAGCCAATAACGTTGTAGAGGAGGAGGGACATGAACTGCAGCTTTAGGATGTTTATGCTCCCAAATGACACGAACCCTTGCAAAGATAGCGTACTAGCTTGTATATACAACATGTATAAAATAAATTTGAAATACATGCAAAAGGAACTGGTAACGTATTCTGCCATTCCATGTTTATTTTTCCGTATTTATTTTGTGTGTGTGTGTGTGTGTGTGTGTGTAATGGCATTTATATTTGTTTTTTATTCGTTGTAAATGTAGCCTATGCGTGTGTGTGCCACAATCCCTTCATTCTTTCGTAAGTTTAATTTGAAACCTTTTATGCAGCAATAAAATTGGCTAAATTTTCAGATAAGCTGATGGCATAAACATTAGTATAAGATGCCTTTTTAACAAACAAAATAGGAATTGGTCGTATTTAAACTAGAAGCCTGGATATTATTGATTTTATTTTATTTTTTATTTAGTTTTATTATTATTATTGCTTTTAAGTATCACTGCCTTTTGAGAAAAAAGCAAAGAAAAGCAAAGTGCATAGCAACAGATTTGACATTTAAACAGACGTTAAAACTTACATTATTCAGACCCTCATAGCGACTGCGAGCTATGCTTTTTTTTATCTGGCATATATAAGAAGAGAGATATATAGATCTATATAATAATTTGAAGTAGCTTAAGTCGGCTGAGATAGATAGATAGATAGATAGATAGATAGATAGATAGATAGATAGATAGCGTTTAGGGAATATAATTATACTTTTCGCCTTGTCGGTACAAACGAGTTCAAATAAAACGTGATTTAAAAAAAAAAAAAAGAATAATAAGGCAAAAATGCTGAAATCGAGTGTGTATATGTATATAGATTAAACTAAATATTTAATCTATATACACATTCAGCACGAAACGAGAAATGTTTTTAATTTGGCAGTATTAAGATAAATGTATCACTTTTCCTTTCCGTATTAGGCCTATAACTTGGTGTTTTGCGTGAAAATGTTTAATGGACCAATAAAAACACATTATAAACACATTAAAACCAGTATAGAAAAAAATTATAATAATGTAAAATGTATAAAATATAGTAGCCTATCGTAAAAGCGTTTAATCGTGTTGACTGCATTTAAAAAAATGTTGACTGAAATGATCACGCCATCGACAGCTTATAATGGGACCATTTTTGTTATATTTGATAAATAAACATCAACGCTGTTTCATCATGTTAAGTCCAAATAAGCGCGTAGTTGAAAAAATATCGGTGCCATTAAAGTTTAGACATCATCAAGAACAGGACATTGATCTTGACTGTAATATAGCCTATGTTTAAATCGTATGTTTGTATACGAAACACTTTACAAGAATTATGTTTCCTGGATCTGTTAATCCTCAGTTGGCCGTTTATTTTTCACGACATCCATGTTTGAGCACTTATTTTGAGTGAGAAAAGTGTATAAAATTTGAACTCAATACAAAAGACTAATTCTAATTCTGAGCACTGTTGCTTGTAATGCCTCTTACACCATGCGAGTATCAGTGCTGGTTGCGGTGGACTTTGAGCTTACATTGATTCTTTTAATTTTGACAGTTCGCAGTGTATTGCTCCAGGTGCCAAATATAACAGCGATGTTAAACAGTGTGTGAATATCTATGGCCATAGCTATTCTTCTCTGTGTGTCAGTGTGTGAGTGAGAGAGAGAGAGATGAAGGAGAGAAAGAGGGAGTCGTATGTGTGTGTGTGTGTGTGTGTGTGTGCGCGCGCGCGCGTATGAGTGTAAAATTTCACAAATTTCACAAAAGACGGTTCATGATTTATTCGTGTTTAAGTGTTGTGTGTGGGGTTCAGGCGTAATTCATCTGTCTGAATGGAAGTTCTCGAGTAATTTAAATCGGCCGAGTCTCCAGTTAATGACATATAATCAGCCTGCAGGTCACTTGGTCAGACTCCTGGTATAGACCCCTCCTCCTCTTTCTGATCTCCTTTCAAACTGAATTTTGTAAAAATAAAGTTATGCAGAACCAAATATTTGAGCATGAGAGGTGCTTAATAATCCTTGCATGAATCAAAACTAATGGATTATCTATGATCAGAATGTATGAATATGTTTTGCCATAAGCAGGACTGACATAAATGATGAAAGGGAAAAAAAGAAAATAACAACAACAACAAATAGCAATAAAAATCTCACTGTAACTATATCATTTATAAAGAGCATGTTTTTATTTTTTATTTATTTTATAGAAATTCCTAAAACCGCAGAATATATTAAATATAGGTTGCATATTCATCTATCTATATATGTAATGATTACATCCCATCGCTGCTTTCAGTTTTCCTGCTCAGTTCTGAATGTTCATTGTTGTTATGTTTCATGATTAAAGTATCCCACTGAACTATGACATGCTTTTCCGTTATATTAGACAAAATATAACTGCAAAAGGTTGAAGCCTAATACCCCATCCCCCAGTCAATGCAGTGACCGGTGGACCCCTTCTTTCCTCTGGGGGTCTCATTAAGAGAGTCGTGTGCTATTTTCAACATTTCCTCAATCCAGTGACTTAAAATAAAGCCGCTCAGTCACACCGAAAAATCCTCTCAAATCACGTTACCTTCTTTGCCAGACGTTTGTTCTCTGCCGATGTAGTTGTGATAATTGACCGTCTCTGAAAACGGACATGTTTTCCCACCTTGCCTCTCCACTAATATGCCGACAGGTAAACTGTAACAATAGAAATTCCTAAAACCGCAGAATATATTAAATATAGGTTGCATATTCATCTATCTATATATGTAATGATTACATCCCATCGCTGCTTTCAGTTTTCCTGCTCAGTTCTGAATGTTCATTGTTGTTATGTTTCATGATTAAAGTATCCCACTGAACTATCACATGCTTTTCCGTTATATTAGACAAAATATAACTGCAAAAGGTTGAAGCCTAATACCCCATCCCCCAGTCAATGCAGTGACCGGTGGACCCCTTCTTTCCTCTGGGGGTCTCATTAAGAGAGTCGTGTGCTATTTTCAACATTTCCTCAATCCAGTGACTTAAAATAAAGCCGCTCAGTCACACCGAAAAATCCTCTCAAATCACGTTACCTTCTTTGCCAGACGTTTGTTCTCTGCCGATGTAGTTGTGATAATTGACCGTCTCTGAAAACGGACATGTTTTCCCACCTTGCCTCTCCACTAATATGCCGACAGGTAAACTGTAACAAGCGCCTCAGCTTAATTTATATCAGTATTAAGCCCATCTGATATGTCAACTGATACGGAACAGGCAAAAGTCCAGATTTAGGGGACATTTACGAGATTTTAATACAATTCATCTGCCCTCATGAATCACAGTCATTATAAACAGGTTATTCCAAACATGCGGTGAACTTATTTGCTGTGGTACACACCTCTTTCTTTCTTTCGTTCTTTCTTTCGTTCTTCTTTCTTTCTTTCTTTCGGTGAAAAAAGACTAAATACTAAAATAGAAAATACATGTTCAAAATTGTCCTTAATATTGAGTCATTTAATTACTTTAAAGAAGACAATTGATTTCCTTTTTTTTAAATTAAAAAGCGCATATTTAAAACGGGGAACTTTTTTTCTGTTGTTAGTCTATTGTATTCATGCATTTCACAGTTTAATTTAAAATGTAATTTGTCAATTAATTATTCATAGAAAAGTTATCTGTACTTTATGTGAACGAGTATTTGAGATAGATTGATATATACTTAATTATTTATTGACCTGTATTTGATTATTGATTATTTGACAATAAAAATATTAAGCAACGTTTAATTTACCTAAATATCTAGAAATTAAAGAATTAAATGACATGTAAGCTGTAACAAGCGCCTCAGAAAAAAAAAAAACGCATTAGGCATAAACAAAACTCCCATCAAAAATTTTCATTGTACATGTTTCTTTTAATTTATTGATATTTTTTAATTTATAGCTTAATTTAAAAGCTGTTTACATAAAGTTTATAAATCCATTTTATAGATTTGTTTTAGTTTTATGATTAAGTTATTTTAATACTAATGAATGGGAATTTGGTAAGCGGGTAGAACTCAGTTAACAATGTGAGACGACTTCAGAGTTTTTAAATGGACACGACCTGAAGGGTAATTATAACACCATGTATAACTGTACATAGCAGTGTCTGTTACCAGTATACATTTTTATATATTTCCAAATCTCTAAGGTTGTGTTCAGTTAAATTCATGTGCACCATGAATGCCTAAACACTTCACTTTTGTCAGTAGCTGTAGCTCTTGTGAATTCTTGCAATCAATTTTCAAATATTCATTCTTGAGAACCCTCCTTTCTTTCTCCTGTCACTCTTTTCCTTCTCTCCAACCCATCCATAATTCTTATCTATACTAATCATCACTCAGAAGCCCGTCTTATAACATCTGTTCACCCCCTAGCACATAATATCTCATCCTCAGTTTCTGAGCCAGCCTGAATGATGTGTTCTGGTGCTCCCAGAATGCCCAGATTCTGTGGATAGGCTGGTTCTGCTGGTTTCCAATGATGGTTAACTCTCTGTCTGATCAGAACCACTGACACTATCTCCATTCGTCTGCAAGTTATCTTCATTCTCTCCATATGTTTTTGCAGACTTCCCCACTGGACCACAGACTTTGCTCTTTTTTTCCCTCCTCCTCTTCATCTTTCCATCACCACCCACTTCTGTTTTCATCCCCCTTTCTTCTTGCACTGTTTTTGATGGTTCAAAGTCTCCTCACCTCTCCTTCACCAACACTCACTTCCTTTCACCGCACACACATACACAGAAACACAGGATCAACCTTTCCATTGTTTCTTGTCCTCCTCAGTTACTCTCTGATTACGTAAAGCAGAATGTGTGAGAAAAAGGGCCGAACTGAATAGAGGGTTAATCTCCACGTGCTTCTTGATCAGGCTGCTGTCCGTTTCGCACCATTG